TTCTGAGGCTGTAAATCTTTACGGGAGCAGAAAGCCTCATCTTTCTCTCACAGAACTGCTGGTAGTTTTGAACTGCTGACCTTGTGGTTGGCAGTCCGACTTGTAACCACTATGCTACCAGAGCTCCTTCCTGAAAAGTCTAGTGGAGAACAATTCTATTCTGCAACACATGGGGTCACCATGAGCTGGAATCAATTTGACAGCAAATGGCTGTTTGGGTTGTGTTTGGGTGCAGACCGTTCAAGTGCTTGACTTCTAACCAAAAGGTTGGAGATTCAAGTCCATGCAGACATACCTCAGAACAAAGACCTGCTGATCTATACTTCTAAAATATCAGCGATTAAAAGCCCTATGGAGCACAATTCCATGGGGTTTCCGTAGGATTATGAATCTTAGCAACTGGGAAACCAAGCTTTAGTATAGTGAGTCTAGTGAAGGTTAGAATTCACAGGGTCCCTATAGGTCAGAGGTGACTTCCTGGTAAACCAAGATTTAGTACAGTGAGTCTGACAAAGCTGAGGGGAGCAATACAGAGCGATGAGGCCCCATTTCTCAGTATCAGTAGGACAGGTGCTAATTGGGAAGGGGCTGCACACTGTCATGATACCCCTGCAGAGCCATGTGTTTCATGTGCCAGAAGCCTGAGCTTCAGACACTGCAGAATGAGACGCAGCCGTTAGTCACCGCTGCAGCCAGCTCACAACCTGGCACACGGACTCCCCACATTGCCGGCATGGGGATTTGGTTTTGTTTCCAAACATACAATGTGCACTTTGGGGCATTAATTTTAATTCTGAACCAACAGTGACAATGTTTCCCAACAGTGGGCGAGAAATCACAGGTGGGAAGAGGATCCCAATGCCAGGGAAGTTTGAGAAGGACCACCTCAAACACCACTATGACTTTGTCTTTACAACAGGAGCTGTGTTGAGGCCTAGAAATACAGGGTGGGGGTAGTGGTGGTTCAGTGGTAGAATTGTCCCGGTCCATACGGTAGACCCGGGCTCCATTCTGGCCTTTGTACCCCATGCGCACCTCACCACCCGTCTGTCAGTTGCTATGATGCTGAGTAGGAGTCAGCAGTGATTTCAGATGGACACATGAGGAAGAAAGGCCTGGGGATCTACTTCTAAAAATCAGCCAATGAAAAACCCTATGGATCCCACAGCCACTCATAGGGATGATGCAAGACCATGTATCATTTCGATCCCATTGTGTATGGGGTCACTGTGGGCTAGGGGCTGAGTCAATGGCAGCTCACAGCACTAAACATACAGCATTTGCCAAGCTAATGTGTCAAGAAGGTACCCCTTCTTGACAGGGCAATTTTGATGACAGTTTCAAGAATGCTATTGTATAGTAGTATCCTTCCTGTCTTGTCACTTGGAAAATCAGGTCTCATCAACTTTCTTTAAACCATGGAGGTCTTTCAGCCTAACTTGTGAAGCCATTTATCTGTAGGACGCCGCATTCAAAATGGTGCCTTCACTCTGATAACGCTGTGTAAGCCAGAACCTTTCCGGAATCTTCCTCTGCCCCATTCTCCCCGACCCCAGTCCTTTGTAGAACTGATGATTAAAAGGACAGAAGGTTAATATTATGGTTGCTTGATACCATGAGGGATTTCATGGATACTTTTGTGTTTTTTTTTCCTGAAACACCTATTTCTAGATTTTGTGGTCCATCAGACTTTGCCCTACCAATCGGTTTCAGTGGACACATTCAACTCTAAGAACGATGTATACGTGACCATTGCTCAGCCTAGCATGGAGAACTGCATGGTGCTGGAATGGGACCACATTGAAATGAATTTCCGGAGCTATGATAATATTACAGGTATGTGTGGCTTTGGTCTGATATATTGACCTGACTTCAGGATTTTCTGAAACCTGCGGGAGCCGAAACATTCTCTGCCATGCTGATTTGGAGCTGGGCTGTTTGAGTGTAGCCCACCTCATCTCTTTGCTTTTGATTATTGGTGAGAACCAGAAACTCAGGTGGGGATCCTGTTTATTTTTCATGACCCTCTTGAGAAGGAAGACGCTGATGGGTTGCACCTGGTTGGAAACGCATCGTGGTAGATGGTGGTGAGAAGTCAGAGAAGATGCTTGGCCGTGGGTCCAGCAGCCTGAGATGGTACCAGTGTTTCAGTAGCTAAATGATGCCTTTGCTTGTTGTTAAACTGATTGCTAACTAATATGCTCACACGTGTGTGTGCGTGTGTGTGAGATATGTGTGCTTACCAGGAGGCTTCAAAATGTTTTTGGAAAAATGGGCTGAGAAGAGGATGGGATTTTTCCACAAGCTTTTTGAAAGCCCTCTCATATACATTTAGCATATATTTGTATAGTGTCCACACACCAGATAAACTAATTGTTGTCAGCCTAACTCCCACTCTTGGCAGCCCCATGTGTGTCAGAGCAGACTGTGTTCCCTAAGGTTTTCAGTGGCTGATTTTTCAGAAGCAGATTGCCTGGATTTTCTTCCCTTTCTCCTTTGGGTAGACTCGAGCCAGGGCTTCAAACTGCTTAAAAACAGTCCCGTCATGGCTGATGGAAGAGGGCAGCATACGTGTTGCATAGCAACCGAATTTCTGGTGCCTCAGATTTTGGCCCAAGTAGGAAACAAGTCAGGGGTGCCCCTCGTAAAGATGGCGGCCACTTAGTGTTAGAATGTGGTTGACCCCAGAGAGTAGCTTAGGGATCTTTATTCCTGCCCTCCCTCTCGGCCCCAGTCTGATGTAACAAGCCCCATCAGATCTGTTTCTAACTTCTGATTATTTTCTGTTTGCCAGATTTCCCTAACATACCTATCTAGCACACCTTTTAAAACATACGGTGAAGTTAGTTTGATACAGCTAGTTGTTTCCTTGTTCTGCTTGGGTCACTTGTCCACCATCCAGTCCACATAAGCAAAGCACTATGATAACGTACTTCTTTTAGAAAGGATTTCCAGGAAGCTAATCTCGTGCAGCCCTCTAGAAGGTTATGTGGTGATGGAGGTGTAGAGTCCTTTGGTGACTAATATGGCAGCTGCTGCTGCCAATATAAACAGTTGATAAGTGGGCAGTGCATCTGTGGAAAGGAATTTTCAATTTTATTTAATCTTAATAAACTTAAACAGCTCTTGTGGCTAGTTCGGCTGTGCTGCATGGCACCGATTAAGAACAGTTCCATCATCATAGGACATTCCAGTGGACAGTGCAGCTGTAACCTGTTCCTGATGCCCCCTTGCCAGGTTCGGGTGACCACTGTTTTCATTTATTGTTATTGTAAAGTGCCGTCAGGTCGGTTCCGACTCATAGCGACTCTGTATAGAGTTTCCAAGGAGCGCTGGTGAGCTTGAACTGCCAACCTTGTGGTTTGCAGTTCAGTGCTGATCCTACCGTGCTACAAATAGGGCATTCCCAATATCTTTTTTTTTTCTCCCTTCCTTATTTTTTTGGTGGTAGTGTATATGTAATAAATAATTTGCTATGTCAATATTCTTCATGTGCATGACCTAGTCTATGGTCGAGGGCCTTAGTCTCAGGTTCCTCCAGACTCTTTCTGACCAGTAAACCCAGTCTTTTTTGTTGTTGTTGTTAAATAATTTTGACCGTTGCACATTTTCTCCGGGACCCTCTCATGGAATTCCACAGTGCAGTTGGTAGTGATAGCTGGGCACCATCTAACCCTTCTGGTCTCAGAGTTGTAGAGACTGATATTCACATGTTCCATTAGTCCATTGGGCTAATTGATTCCAAGTGTCTTCAATTCTTATCACTCTTCTTTCTTCCACACCTGGAGAGACCAATATCTGTGTCTTAGATGTTCCAAGATCCCAGATGCTAGTCACCCAAGCAGGATGTAGAACACTGTCTTTGGGAACCATGTTAATGCCAATTGACCATGGTATTCCCTGAGACTATGGTCCCGAGCCCTTCCAGGAACTTCTTGAAGCTCCCTTGTATACTAGTAGAATTTTTGGGATCCCAATGTCTTGTTGTTGTTGTTAAGTGCTCTTGGGTCCGTTCTGACTCATAGTGACCGGGTATATGGTTTCTGAGGAGCAGCTGGTGGGTTTGAACTGCTAACATTGTGGTTCGCAGTCCAGTACTGATCTGTAGTCTCCCAGTGTCTTAGCGCTACTAAAAACAAGCTGTCTACTTTCTTTATCAAACAGTGGATAAAATAAGAATAGCTTTTTCAAAGACTTCTCATACATGAACATGGAATTTGATAATAAGACTTACTTTATAAACAGTGCCTTGAAGGTCTAATTATCTCCCCAGGAGAGGATTTCCTTCAGAGGCTCCAGATTTGGAGGGAGAGCAGCATTTTGCTGTTGCTGCATGCAACACATCATGGTAGACTTTCCAGACTAGGAGGCCCTGGGAATCTCTCAGGCACAAAGTGGCTTCACAGCAGGACTGGAGGCCTGGAGAGTGTTGTTTCCCTCTCGGGGAGAAGAGTTGCTAATGAGCATGTCTCCCTGCTCTGAGGTCTGGAGACACCCATCCGGATGCACCATAGATGCCATTTCAAATGAGCAGCACTAGCTGTCATACCATCTGGTCTCCCAGTGCTGAGCCTGCATTTCTGGGAACAGCCGCTAGCTCCAAATGCAGATTCAGCACAGAACCTTGCTGGTGACCCTAATGGGGGAAGTCAGGGTCTTAAACCCAGAGCCTCTTATGAAGAGGGTGGTGGTGAGAGAGGGACTCTGTCTCTGTATTCTGCTGTGTCCCTTTATTTTCTGACTTGCAAGATAGTTGTTAAGTGCTCCCACATTGGTTCAGAACTTGCAAGATACATGAGGGTAAATGAGCCAGCTTCTTGACCTTCTCTCCTCAGTCCCTATGGGAGGGGATGGAGCCCTGGGCACTCACCGACACCCCTTGAGGCGTTGCTGTGGGCTGCTTGCCCACGAAGAAGCCCTCTTGTCCAGGGAGAAGAAGTGTATGCTCATGGGCTGTAAAGACTCAGGTTATGAAGACTGGTGCGCATGCGTGGACTCCTAGCTCTGCCTCGGACTAGAAGTATCGCATCTCCTGAAGCTCAGTTTCAACCTGCTGAAGTTGAGCTCATTCTAACTCATGGTGATCGCAAGTTAACAGCATGGAACTGTTCTCCTTGAGGGTTTCTTAGATGTAATCTGTAAGAGGGCAGATCACCAGAACTTTTTTTTTTTTTTAATTTGATACCCTTTATTTTTCTTTAATTGTGAATTGAATGAAGGTTTACAAACAAGATCATCAGTTTTACATTCAACGTATGCTTTCTTTCATCTCAGTAATTGTAATCCATGCAACAAGAGTTGTCCCACTTCTTCCTGTGGTGGTGGTGGTGGTTGTGTGCCGCCAAGTCAGTTCTGACTCATAGCGACCCTGTACAGGGTTTCCGAGGCTGTGAATCTTATGGGAACAGAAAGCCTCCTCTTTCTCCCACAGAACAGCTGGTAGTTTCGAACTGCTGACTTTGAGGTTAGCAGCCCGACTCTTAGCCACTACGCCACCAGGTGGTGGTGGTTCTTAAATGCTGTTGAGTGAGGTCTGACTCATAGTGACCCTGTATAGGGTTTCCAAGGAGCATCTGGTGGGTTTGAACTGTTGACCTTGTGGTTCGAAGTCCAGTACTAACCCTACAGCACTACACCAGGAGTCCCTGTGATTACCTGATGTACAAATAGCCTCTTTCAAATTCTTATATATTTATCTCCCACTCTTCCTTCCATACCCGTTCTGCCCGTGTCTCTGTGTGCATATCTACACACATAACACTGTTGTTCCAACTTTGTGTTTATATCACTATTTACCACTATCCCTTTAGCCCTTGTATGCCTCCCTGTGTTTTCGCCTATCTTCATCATTCTTCTGCCAACCTCCCTCTTGTATATTTTCCTCCCTGAGTTCTGGTGTGGTGCTGTAGATTAGTGCACTAGACTTAAAGTCGGTTTGAACCGCAAGGTTGATGGTTCAAGCTCACCAGCCACTTCTCGGAAACCCTATCTATACAGGGTCGCTATGAGTTAGAACCGACTTGATGGCCCTTAACAACGACAACAACCCTCTGATCAGTGAATTATTCTCTCCCACCCCCAGTAACCATCAAAGAATGTTTGAAATCCTTTCCTTGAGTTTTTGCAATAGTGGTTTCATACAATATTTGGCCTTTTGTGATTGACTAATTTCACTCATTATAATATCCTCTAGTTTCATCCATGTTACAAGGTGTTTCACAGGTTCATCATTATTCTCTAACATCACATACATAGTATTCTATTGTGTGTATGTACTGAAGTTTGCTTATCCATTCTTCCACTGATGGGCATTTAGGCTGTCTCCATCTTTTTGCCTTGTGAATAGTGCTGTGATGACCATTAGTATGCATATACCTACTGATGTCCTGGCTCTTATTTCTTGTGGATATATACCAAGTAGAGGGATGGTTGGGTCACACGGCCTTTCTATTTCCAACGTTCTGAGGAAGCACCGTACCCTTTCCCACAGTGGTTGAACCATTTACAGTCCCACCAGCAACATAGGAGGGCCCCAGTCTCTCCACGCCCTCACCAGCATTTGTTGTTTTCTGTTTGTTTGAACTTTGCTGTTAATGCTGGCTTGAGATGATATTTCATTGTTGTTTTGATTTGCATTTTACTAATGACCAGGCCTTTTTCCCATGGCACCTCTGGGCTGGTTGGAACCACTAACTTAATCAACTGTACTACCTAGGCTCCTTAAGTTTGTTGTTATTATCGTTAGATGCCATCGAGTTCGCTCCAACTCGCAGTGACCTGATGTACAACTGAATGAACCACTGCCCAGCACTGCACCATATTCACAATTGTTAGGG